ATTTGGGATTTTTGGGAATGGATCCCCATTTGGGATTTTTGGGCTCCCCACCTGGGCCCGGTAGCGGATCAGGGCGTTGTTCTCCGGGGATCCCCTCACCCCGATGGTCGATCTCCTCCGGAATTTGAGCAAACTTGGAGAATTCCCTGCAAAGAGAATCAGAGCAAAGGTTAAAACAGCAAAACCAGAAAAGATTTTCAAATACCCAAAGCTTTAAAATGTTAATTTTTTTTCCTTTTAAGGGATCTGAGACTGCATCACCAGTTTCATTTATAAACAACAAAAACAAGCAGAACCCACGGGGTTTTTTCCTTTTTTCAGACAATCCCAAATCAGGTTTTTCTTCCTCTCTGCCTCTCTCAGGGCCAGAGGAGTCAAGTCCCATGGGAACAAACGGCCCAATGATCCCAAAAGTGGAGTAAATGATCCCAAAGTGCATGAAATGATCCCAAAGTGCATGAAATGACCCCAAAAATGCATTAAATGGCCCCAAAAATGCATTTAATGACCCCAAAGTGCATTCAATGATCCCAAAAATGAATTAAATGATACCAAAGTGCATTCAATGATCCCCAAAGTGCATTCAATGATCCCAAAGTTCATTAAATGATCCCAAAGTGCATTAAGTGATTCCAAAGTGCATTAAGTGATCCCAAAAATGCACAAAATGATCCCCAAAGTGCATTCAATGATCCCAAAGGGCATTCAATGATCCCAAAAATGCTTTAAATGATCCCAAAAGTGCATTAAACAATCCCCAAAGTGGATTAAATGATCCCAAAGTGCATTAAATGATCCCAAAGTGCTATAAATTATCCCAAAAGTGCATTCAATGATCCCAAAGTGCATTCAATGATCCCAAAAGTGCATGAAATGATCCCCAAAGTGCATCAAATGATCCCAAAGGGCATTCAATGATCCCAAAAATGCATTAAATGATCCCAAAGGGCATTAAAATGATCCCCAAAGTGCATTCAATGATCCCAAAAATGGATTCAATGATCCCCAAAGTGCTTTAAATGATCCCAAAGGGCATTAAAATGATCCCCAAAGTGCATGAAATGATCCCCAAAGTGCATCAATTGATCCCAAACCATTCCCAATCCATGTCTATCAATCCCAAAACCATCTCTGAGCTCCCCCCCAGCACAGATCCCACCTTTGCATCCAGGAGTTCCCTCTCTGGTGTTTTTTAGGATGGACAGGGACTCAATTCCCACAGGAACAGCTCTGGTGGATAAATCCCGCTCCGTGTCCCAAA